CCGCTGACCGCCCGCAAAACTGTGTTCAGCTACCTTAAAAGGTCACTTGAAAACCCAGCCCAGCGCTGATGGGATAAACCCTTACAAAATTTTTAAAGTTATAAAAGTACATTAAAACACTCACATTAATATTCACAAGATATTGAAACTACAAAATCATTAAATTGTTTCTTTAAAATTGCCTTGGGTACAACTAATTTGATCTAAATCTTCAGATTTCAGTTTTCAAATTGTTTAAAATAACTAATTTTTTCAAGTTCTCTGATCTTTTTGTCAACGTTCAACCTGCTGGTCTTACATGTTGATTTTCAAACTCTGAATTCATTCCTTTTATTTTTAATGATTTTTTGGCCATCCTATTTGCCTCAGATCATAGGGCAAAGGGTAAAAGGCTAATCAATAACCTAGTCTGTTTATTTACATACATTATATCGATCATTGTCGATATCAAAATCACTAGTTTTGAGAAATGTAACCGATATCTATCGAAACTGTAAACTATGTGTAAATTAGGCACATTCATTACATTTAGTGATCTGGTCTGACGAAAGAATGAAGCAGAAGACATCTTTACAGGGGCCAGTTTACCTTCTTTTGACTCCACTTATGGTAAACTGAAGTATTAAACAGTATTGCAAAAATGTTTTCACCATAATCATAACCTGTTACAATTTCATCAAATTTGATTGGTGCATAAACTGCTTTATTTTTTACATATTTTGTGTGGGGTTGTAATCGGACAGTTACATCAGCCAATCATAATAACATCGCTATAGCAACAACCACTTACCCTACCAAACTGGAGATTTTCCAAAGTGGGTGAATTTGTAACATTAGACAGTGTCTCTGCCAGTAATATTTTTCCTTAATTTTGAATAATTAATTTTAAAGTTCTTTCACCGAGAAAGGATGCATTTCTTTTCTCAAAAATTGTAATCACGGTTATGATTAATTAGTAAAAGAATTCGTGTCTAGTCATCCAATTCGGTCTGTAATCATACTCGAGATTAACAAATCGGATGTGTAAGGAAAAAATATGTATGTAATATATAAGAATAGATTTACAACCTAACTAAACTGAAGAAGAGCTAGCTTATACAGTATGAATTTGTATTTATCCCCAGAGTGACTAGAGTACTCTGGTTATTACATAACACGACAGATCATCTATTGTTAACTGGGAATCTATTCACCTAATTATCGTTTTGTTCCTGTCTTTCACCTTTCAGCTTCACTCATTAGTTTGCCATGTCATTCCGAAAGCAAATTAAACTTATGAACAAGAAAATCCAAGAACATAACCAGAAAATGAAGCCAATAAAGGAAATGGAGCTTTTTGTTCTCGACAACTCTCTTCGAGAAAGCACCGTGGCACAGCTTCGAGGCCATACCATTGAAAACAAGTGGAAAATATATGAAGAGGTAAGCCATGTGCTATTCCTGATATGGATCCAAAGTGAAAGTTGCGAGGGGGCCTGGTAAAGAGCATATCAGCTGGTCAGTCTCTGATTCACGTCTTACCTTCTTTTGTCCTCATTCTTCTCTCACCTTTTTTTGCCTTTTATTATTTACTCTAATCTTCCATTCCCTATTTCTCGTCTCGTCTCTACCGCCCTTCTTACATGATATTTTAATGTATCGCCAAACCATTTGCAAGTTTTGACTATTTTTGACAGATTCGCTATTTTCGCCAAAAGCGCCACTTACCAAGGGCCCCCTTTTGCCCTGAAATTTGAATATTTGCCAGATCCATGTCAAATTTAAGCGTCCAATTGGCCATTTTCGCTAGATCTGCCATTTTCGTAAAAACCGTCACTCTCCAAGGGGCCCGTTTTGCCCTATTATTTTTCGCCTGATTTTCTATTTTCGCCAGATTCGCCAGTTTTGTCAACTTCGCCACTCTAACTTTACAAGGAGCATTTAAGTTTCGCCATACCTCTAAAGAGTTTTTTTTTGCCAGATTGGTCATTTGCGCCACTGCGTGCATTTCTGGACACAAGTGCTGCCTGTCGGTCTACTTCACTTCACTCCACTCTCAGTGGGTTCTTCTCTTCTCTAATCATTTCTACTCTTCTCTGCTCCACTCTACTTATCATACTTCAATCTACTCTACCCTGTATACCCTGCTCTAGTTACCCTACACTTTTCTGCCCTATTATACTTTACTCTACTCCATTCTATAGGGCTCTACTCTACTCTGGTCTGCTCGGGAGTCTTCTACAATCTTCTCTACTCTACAATAACTGACTTAACTCTACGCAATCGCCACACTACTCTACTACAAATTACCTCACTTAACCTTCCTGAGATAAAGTAAATGATTTAACTTCTTCTCTGTGTTTCATCTGTTTTAACCAGGTGAAGAAAGCTGGCTTTCAGCATATGATTGTTGCCTCATTTTCCCACATGACTCGTGTGGGTGACACCTTCTGTCGTAAACTAAAAGAGGAAGGAGAAGACTTCGACAAATTATACGCCTTCACGGAGTTAGTGGAACCTGGTTACAAAAATAGAGTGCCAGACGTCGAAGCTATTCCTGTTGGATTGAAAAAGATGAAGGAATTTGGCATCAAACACCCAATCATTGAGGTGGATTTTGTCTACAGTGGAATCGACTATGAGAAGTTCACGTCTGATGACATCAACAAGCTTTTGTCTGAGCGAATGAGATGGGTTCGTAAAAATCTTTCCAAAGAGGCCCGTATATTTATCAACCTACGCGACTTTCCAGCAGCCATGTCGAGTAGACCAGAACGCATTTTTCAAGTGGTTCATTACTTGTCTTCTTTGCCACGAACTGAGCGTCCCTTTGGTTTGATATACGAGGATCCATCAGGTAAATCCATGCCAGAACAACTTGGAGTCTGGACGGCGGCCATTCGTAAAGAAATGGACGACTGTGGTTTTAAAGATGCAAAGCTGTTGGTACATGTTCACAAGCAATGGGGAATGGCAGACAGTAGTGTGTTGGCATGCCTCGCCAGTGGCGCAGATGGTATATGGGCAAGCTTATGCGAAGAAGGCGCCGCTATGGGTCACTCCTGTTCAAGTGTGACTATAATGAATTTAGTCCGCCTTGGAAACAAAAAGGTTTTACAACAATACAACTGTACGTACCTCCGCAAAGCGGCCCAAGAGATCACCACAATCACAACTGGGCTTGGTGCGGGTCACAGGCAGGTGGTGTATGGGGAAAGAGCTCTAGATCTGGTCTTCGGAATACCCAACTTCCCCTTAGACAAGAAAGAATTTGATATTGCTACGTTCTTTGATGAAGAGCCTCCCTTACGAATGACTACTCTGGCCTCGCCCAAGATGATCGCGGAAAAACTGAGGCGTGTCTTTGGAGAGGACCCACAGTTCACGGAGGAAAGAGGCACGAGAATGAAGGAAGTAATGTTGGAAGACCTTAACGAAAACAGAAAGGAAGAATACATGAGCGCAGTTGGTCTGGCGATACTGTTTGATCGGTCTGGTGGCCAATTAACCCCTGGCATGAGCGAAGTCATCGCGCAGGATGAGCCCGAGAAAGGCCACGCTCAGCATTTGATTGCTGAAATTCGGAAAATGTGGGATGAATGGGATCTTAGGGAAGAGAGCCAGCAAGATGATGCGTTGGAGTTCGATTCATTCTACAATGGCTTCTTGGCACCATACTTCAGCTGCTACAGATGCGATGAAACAAAGCGCGCTCTAAAAGCCATTGACATGGATGAAGACGGAAAGGTGGATTGGAATGAATTCTCCTTGTACTTAAAGTGGGCCATTCGCCAGTATCCTGAGACCAAGACTGCTGAGGATCTGCTATCCATTGCCTTCCGCAAGGGCCTTATCCCCGCCATGCAAGACGTGGTTCTTCACGTAACTGTAGACGTAGAATAAGCAACACTGACAAAAAGCTCATGACCACAGATAACCTTGTCCTGATTTATCGGAAATAAATTATAAGTTGTAGGGTGAAAATCGATATATTTTTTCGCATAAACTGCTCTTTTCGCTTTTCTTTAAAGAAATAATGCACGATTAAGACCCATACCTACAAGATACCTGCACTATCAGGAGAGATACAGCTCTTTCATTAATAGCTACCAAAACATTGGCTCCGTTCAACTTCGACTTCAGAATCGATGGTATCCTGTGGAAGAATTCCTTTGTCCGTTTTGCTTTCATTTCCTCCTGCGAGACATATCCAGCATCTAAAACGCCCAGAACCTTGTATCTCTCTCTCTGTTCCAATGAGGAAATTTCCCTGCCTTAATACCGTCAAAACTGATAGTTTTTCCTCTCTTCAAGATTATGCACGCACACTTCTGAATGCCGAACTCCATAGCAGACAAGTAAATATAAATACGTACAGTCTGGAACTATTACAACTTGGCAATAAAGTTCAGAATGAGACACAGCACGCACAGGGGCACCCAACGACTGTTTTCTGTAAAATATCTGTTTGGTGAAGCAAATATTGCCTAAAATTGTCTATGACTTGAGGACGGCTAAAAATTTCTAGATAACCGTTCAATTCATTCACAATTTTCGAAGCTCATCTAATAAATCCCCTACGATTTTATGAAGTTTAATTTTCACATTTCTCTTCCCAAGTTAGGCTATTTCTCTGAGAAAAAAGGAAACCTAAAATTTCGGATTCAAAAATGTGACGGAGAGAGGAATCAGAAAATGTCTCACTTTCGTAATACGTCAAATTGCACCTAAAATTTTAAAAAATGAGGTGCTTCACGAGATATGCATGAGAAAAATTATTTTCCCTAGCCATACAAAACGAACGTACTTTAGAAACTAGCCCCAACTGTAACATAAGCGAGGATTGCTATTGTACAAGTAATTTCCCTCCTGTGGAAGTGATTTTACGTACTATACCCATTAATTCTACCTACCACGAGTAAAAGTCTAGTGATAAGCGCTGACATAATGTTGCATTACATGTTGCTGATTGAGGGCGCCACGCTACATGAACGGCGTTTTACAATTGAGTTATAAAACTTGTTTAATTTCGCAGTTAATTTAGCTAGGCTTTAAATAAGAGTCTAACCAAAACTTAATAACAAAACATATTGCTTAAAGGGGAGAACACCGCTCCGAGATCGGTATGGCGGACAACTTCCATAGCGTGACCATGAAGCCTTACTTATCTCCCCGGCGCCAACATCTTTTAATATGGCCTAACACTCCGCGGCACTAAGGGCTGAAACCTCCGGCCAGCATCTTGCAACTTATAGAAAGGTGTAGACAATTATTCTGTTCTAGGAACTTTATTTTATCAATACTACTCCGCCGGCACGTGCTGTAAAACAATCAAATATAAAGTTTTCTCTTAAATCAGAGCTTGGGGAAGTCGCCGTGAGACTTAAACCGCCACGGATACGTGCGAAGCATGTATTCCCTTAAGCCCGAAAAAAAAATTTGGTTTAAGGTATGGCACATTGGCCATTCTCGGTGCAGCGGACAATAACACAGTACGAGGAGTGCGTATATTAAGTTGGTGGCAATCCAAGGACCATCTGCCTAAAACCTTAATTAACCAGCCTGGCAAGCCCGCGGCGGCTGCGTAGAGGCGACTTCAATACGAAATATGTACCCTTTGAGGGACGGTAGACCGACCTGACGAGCGCCGTCCCTGATAAGGTTAACAACGGCAGACCTAGTCAGCAGACGTACAGATTGAAAGAAGTAAAGTGGCCCGCGCGGGCGAGCGGTAAGAAAGTACTCGCGCATAGCAGTCACCGCCCAAACAGGTGAGGTGGAGCACGCAATAACAAGCGTATGCCCTTGGGGAAAAGCGTCAGTCTTGGAAGCTCATACGTACGGTTGGTAGTTCATGCCAGTCCCCACTTTGCGTACGTCTGAACCTCTTAAGGTGGGATGGTACAGGGTCTTTTTTTAGCCTTGGGAGCCACCGCCCAGAAACGTGCGTCCTGAAAGAGGGAGAGGGCATCAGCGATTTCGTTAGATACCCCAGGGACGTGGCTGGCCGTGACAAAGAAATATTGTGTTTTATAGAAAGGAGTACAAGGAGCCTTAGGGGAGCCATTATACGAGGGCCTTATTTGAACGACCTGACTACCGATTCGTTATTGCACCTGAATTGAATTCTTTTCCCAGAAAAATGCGGGAGCCAGAAATTTAAAATATTTGTTTGCGAAGTTTTCCCTAAGAATTACAACGCTCATTGAGAGGGCTCACAATAAACGTTCATCACAAATGGCAATAAATAGGGTTAGCTCAGAAATGGCAATGCAAAAAAAAAACAAAACACACACACACACGCGCAAACAATAATTGGAGGTGAAAAGGGAAGCCAACAGGTGGAACATATACCTCTTGTTACTACTTTGAAATTTCCTCGATTCAGTTGTAAAAGACTGAAGATAAAAAAAATACATCGTTATTTTGTTTCAGCGATAGTAACAGCGCATCAAACAAAAAAGCTAATGTTGTGTCATATAGACAGGGTGTTTCGCCAGTGTTGCGGAAACTATTGTTGGGTAGTTATTGCATTGTGTTGTGGAGTGCGTTTTGTTCAATGTCTAGCCTGCGATCATGCCCTCTCCCTTTACCTCAAGCCAAAGAAGCAAAGAAGCAAAAAAAACATTAAAATAAAAAATAACGCCTGATCTCAGGTTATTCAGTGTCAGGACCTAGTAACCCGGATTAGCAACTTCCATGCGCTCACCGTGTCACGGCGTTTTCACGGACCAATTTTTAGAACGGTTTTGGCGAGAAGTTTGAATATCTTTTAAATTCCACAAACCAGTCAGCAAAACCTATAGACCTAAAAATGATACATTTTTTTTCCTTTTTGATATCTTGTACTTCGAATGCGCTCATAGACATGGTGGAGATTCTACTTTCGCGGGAAAAAGTGCCATAAAATGTGTCTAAAAATAGACTGGTCCGTAAAAACGCCGTGACATAGGCTTAGTATGGGAGTTGCTTGCTCCGGGTTATGGGCTCCTGTCAGTGTCTTTTCAATCTTTTGTATTACGTCATTTGGTGATCACACTTGTCCGCAAAACCAATTCAAGAAATTCCCCTTTAAACCTGTCAATAGCAAAATCGTAAAGAACGTTATTGCTAAGCAAGCTAAAAAAGGAAAATAAAGCTCTTTTGAAAGAGCCAGTAGACTCGATTACCTTGGTTCAAATTTATTCGAAGCTCAAATTTATTTTCTCGGTTCTAAGCTCATTATCATACCTTATCATACCCAAACACAAAAAGGAAAAATATTTTAACCACGAATACAATTAAACAATGTCATATGCACTGTTGAAATAGAGCTTTTTGTTGAATCTATTTTTCAATGAGGACTAAATTTAAATAAGTATTTTTTTCAAAATTCCACTTCAAACAATAATATGTTTCAATGAGCAAGCTATGATTGGTCAGAAATAGTTTATCATATATATATATATATATATATATATATATATATATATATATATATATATATATATATATATATATATATATATATATATATATATA